ACCCCGAAAGTTCGACCAAAAAATCTGGTTCGACCAAAGTTCGCGACACCCCTAGGTACAACACAAAGTGAAACGGAGTATAGACAGGGTTTCCGATTGGGCTTGGTGTTTTGTATGCAAAATGCATAACAGCAACAATCAAGTTGGTTACTGAATTCGTATGTGAAGCTAATAAAAAGATTATTTTAAAAAAAAATGTGGACTTTTGGAGCATGAAAAAATGTACGAAGTGTGTAGCGTTACGTCCGACGTAACCGAAGTTACGTCCAAATCTCCGCCTTCCCTAGGTTCACGGGGGAGAGAGAGGAGGGCGGTTGGGGGGGGGGGGGGGGGGGGGGTTGGGTTAGGTATAGGCGTTTCAGTGCTCCGTCCGGATGAGCACTAGCCACAGCGAAAAACGTAATGTGTTGAAATGTATTTTTTTACCAGAAGTAAACTAATGATAATAAAAGCAAAACTGCAGGTGAACTGGGGAACGTTTTTCATAAAGTAATTAATCCGAAACGGAGACACGAAGACGAGAAATTAAATGCAGAAAAGACTAAAAGAGGCAAAGACGCCGCCTAGACCGAAGCGCACAAGTTTTGATTTAACCGAGTGCAGGCAAACTTAGCAAATTTAAAGCACAATTTTCAGTAAGGGACACATGCAGCTGAGAAAGCTTCATGCACACATATACCCGCGTTCATTCACACTACGAATAGAAGCTTCAAATTGTATATTCTCGTGTATCCATACTTTCTTCTTGTATCCACCTTGACACAATTCAAAAACAAGCAACTTAGATGTCGCTCTGTAGCTTTCACAACTCTAAGACACAGCACATGTACGGCAATGTATGCAATAATAATACTATGACAACTGTTGCACTGAATATAAAATAATTATTTAGATTTTAGGGTTTCACATTTTCTTTTCTTTGACTTGGAATTAACCTCATAAGGTTTTCGTTCACCTTTCCACAATAGTTTTTCAGCTCAATGTTCGTGCTGCACCAGAACAAGTTCTTCAGCGCGAGCTCACTTGTGTGTCCTTCTTCACATGCCTCGAAGTCAGAAGTCTCGTTGGTAGACAGCAGTTTCATTGTAAGCTCGCTGACGAACTGACGCTGCATCGGAACCTTCATGAACTCTGCCTGCTTGGAGAGTTGTGTGTCATGGCATTAACGGCGAACATAATTGGATAAAGCTAACAAGAGAGTAGTTCTCCTGCGCAAGTGAAACTGTTGCCGTCTTATCTTCAATTGGTAAGAGCCGCCCTGCATTTTTGACATTTCGGCTTTTTCAAAGAGGCATAAACTGTGTACCCTGCCATGGAGACTAGGACTGGGAGGGTTTAATTTATCGCTTCTGACACTGACTCACTATGTTGCAGCTGGGCTGTGGCGTGTCTACTTGTTTTTCAAGCTCTTCCCATCGCTCGTCTTCACACGGGATTGTCGGCAACGTACTCTGCAGTCACAGCTTATTTTCACCTTCATAAAGCTGCCTTATAGATATGTGATACTGCGAGCCAGCCAGCTGCCTGTAATTCCTGAAACGGTCTTCCCACCTATCAGTCTGAATCTTTCTCAGCAGGACATAGTTCAGCCCGAGTTCAGTGAAGCAGTATTCGGTGATCTGTACAAGTGCACGGGTTGTTTGACGGAGTGCTCCGTGAGTCTCCTTGGCTAGCGTGCCACTGGTAAGGTTCTCGCTCTCCCATATGTCAAGCCAAGCGTCCAAGCCAGTCAGACTGCACAAAAACTGCTCATTGGGATCGTCCACTGCAGAAGCCACTGGTTCTTGAAAGTCGTCTCCGAGTCGCGTTCCTTTGTTCAGCGTCCATGGTAAAATTTCCTTCAGATTTTGAGGCCTCAACGATTTCATTGATTCCTTTAATAATATGCGCCACAGATGTAGGAACAAGAAGGGAATATAGAGCGAAGGCTACAGGCTCCTGGCCGTGGTTTTGAAAACGGTAGTTTGCGCTACAAAGATACGTTTCTAAAATTAAAGGCGAGAGCTAGCTTGTGCTTGTCGCCTTCGCTGCCACGTCAGCGTAAAATTCAATGAAATAAATTCAATAATTAAAAAAAGAAAACGTGAAAAAGATATGAGTTTTCACCCTGGTATGCGTCGATAGAACCAGGTTTTTTTCGAGGAATTGCCTGCACCCATCCTGTTCGCAGTTCTTCATCCTCCGGGAACTTAAACACAAACGCTTTCTTCAAAGACGTTTCATAGTTCCCATGGCACCCAGGGACACAGCATTTATGAGACATGGCTAGCCCTAAAGCCGCCCGTAACTTGACAACCACCATTCGTTAACTGCCACGCTCACCAAACACAAAAGACAAAAGATAAAGGAAAAAAAAAAAAGACAAAAGAGAAGAGACGGTTAGAGAAGTTCGCGTACTCCCGCCGCGAGACTTGTGCAAGATGCCGTGCGCAAAGGAGGCAAAAATTGTCCATTCCGCAACTGCCCCGGGAGAACCCTGGGCTCGGAGAAAGCTAAAAACAAAAACAAAAAAAAGGCCGGAGCATGCGCCGCTTGGCGTCTTTGGAAAAACACATTTAAGGAAAAAAAAAAAAAAGAGCATGTGTTGCGGAGAAGCCTTCCTCTCAAGTCGGCCCACTCGTCGTGAATCTGTGACGTCGCAACTCACAGCGCTGCAGCCTTTGCTCTAAGTGGTGTTGACAAAGCCCTTTCTGGTGGGAGCGTCATCTGCTAGGCTATTCCGTTGATCACACACAGCTCTTGCTTTGTAGCAAAGGAGGGCAGGGCGCTTGCAATGTCGAAGTGCATGGGCGATATGCCCCTCCTCTTGAAATGCGTTCAAAATCCTATTGACGTTAGCCTGTGTAACCCCGACATTTTTCTATATCCCTTTGTGTCATGCCGCCCATCGACATTCTCACAATGCGTTCCCGTATTTTTATGGGCCCTCGAGGAGGTATAAAAATGTGCGCACGCCCACTGGTCAAAGAAAACCAACCTCGTTGAAGAAAACTGCGACTACTTGACTACATGATGACAGCAACAATGCAGTTGATAATACGAAACACCAAGCCAAATCGAAAACCCCGTCTGTACTTCATTTCACTTTGTGTTGTACCGCAGCCGACGCTACGAGTTATCTTGGCCAGTTCATCGCTAAAAGTGTGTCACGCGACCTTCCCGTTGGGTACAACTGCACGGGGAAGTACAATGTCACGTGTCAGGGTGAAAGCACTGGATTGGTTTTGATGCCTCGTAGCATTGTCTGCGGTATATAGTTCAATGCATCGTTGCATTCAGTTTGTCGTGTCACTGTATTTTTCATTTTTGTTGGTGTTCACAAAAGTAAACACAAACATGAAATGAACAAAAAAAGTAAATTAAACTCGAGATGACGCACGGTTTATGCCACTCCAAAGCAGTATCACACAAGCAAGCGCTGTTCAGATCTTTGCTTAAAGACTGTTAGCTATGCCAGCAGATAATGAACAGGGGCTGTGTGCGGTCCACGGAATAGCCTAGCAGACGACGCTCGCAACAGAAAGGGCTTTGCGAGCACGCGCTTAATCTCTCCCGTGACGCCGCATTTTTCTGCGGCACAGCGCTGGCCGTCCCGGCAGTCGACGCTGGCTTGAAATTATTAAAAATTCGGGCCATTGTACACGTCCATTTCAAGACGTGCTGCACGCCAGTAGCCGAGTTAAGTTGAAGGGAAAAATATACAGTGGAATAGAAATAATATGTATAAACTGGATGTATCAAATAATGTGTCTATATTATTTGATATAATCAACGCGAGAAGAAAAATGTCCCATATACATGCCACAACATATATTCAATGTTTGTGTTTATAGTGAAGGTCAGCCTACCTTTGAGGAGCGGCGACACTAGTTTATTCTCTAGTGGAGAAATTTTGGCAGTGCTGTACCCACTTGCTAGCCTGGGGTCTTTGATGTGCATTACACAGGAGCAGGATGTATATTAAAGTAGTGATGAAGACAAAACATACTAATTGCATTCACTTTTTTGCGTGGTATTACCAACTAGTCCAATTAATTGCAGAGTGCATTGCGACCTTGCGCTTTTAGTGTATGCATATGTATTGTGTAGACTTCCAAGCTCCATGCTTTGCACAGTGCTAAGGCTTGTTCAAATAGGTGCTATAGAGCCGTGAGGAATAATACAACTTAAATGAACTTCTTTAGCCATTTCCTAAAATATACAACAAAAATGTTGAATGAAGCTTCAGAGTAGCTATTCACTAAAACTTCAGAAAGCACCCAAGTCAACAAATCACTTGGGACCATTTTGTCCAGGTTTACGCTTGGTACCATACTGTCCAGGACCATTTTGTCCTAGACCCGACGCCAGCATCTTGGTGCTTCGTACAGAGCAGATGCAACTGCCAATCGTCAAGATTCAAAAGTGCAACTTCCTCAGCATTTAATTCGGTATTAGGAAGCTCATGTAATATTGCTTTGCTCTGTCATGAACTGTTAAAACATTTGTAGAGGACGGAAAAGCATTCTTTTGCTACTTGAGATAAAGCTTCAAGTAGCAACTAAGATTTTAAGCCCCAAGATTGGCAAGTGTCGTTACTCTGAAGCATAGCTTTTGGTGGCTCTAAGGGATGCCATCCTTTGTTCTACCCGATGCCGACAGCACACGCCAAGAGAAAATGTAAAGAAATCTTTGTCAACAAAATGTCACCGTACCACAGTCGGAGCAAAGAGTGCGTGCAGGGACACATTTTCACAAGCTTCAAAACAAGGGAAGGAAAATAAGCGGTCAGAACTTAACGACCAGATGTCATCGCCCTAAGCAGGGCGCACATGAAGGCACCCCAGTTTTGATGGACTTTTCACATTCGTGCCAGACTGGCAATGGACAAGTATTCAAATATATATAGTATCACTTATTCCAAATTACGAGTTTACCTTCTAAAACGAGCATGGGCGTTCTGCACTGTAGACTTGCAGGTTTCGAAACCATGTACACGAACAGAACGAAGTGACATCATGTTTTCTTATACTTTTTATTCTGCACATATAAAAATTCACGTATATGATCTAAATATAAAATTACAGTAAAAATCCTGGTATAATAAATACCAGTCCAATTGGTTTGAAGGCTGCACGCATATGATAGGAGCAGCGACAGGTGCATGCGAAATCGGATCAGTGTGCAGTTCACGCAGAGGGATCTTTAGGAAACAGGTTTTCCTTATGAGAAGCAAGAGGGGGCTTGAGAGAGCAACGTTTGACCTCAAGCTCCAGCTTTTGGATCAGCTTCATCTGCTTGAGGTTTTGCTCCTGCAGTCTGAGGACCTCCTGCAAGAGCAAGAATACGGGCACGTGAGATGGCGTTTCAAACCAAAATAGTCAAGGCACGAGACACACAACACCTCTGAAATTCAAAGCAGATTATGACTACCACATCCCGACTTTCTTCTTGTTTTAAGTATATTTACAAAACCTTACCTTTCGCCCAACCATGTTGCCAAATGGTGGAAGACTGGGTTCCAGGATTTTGAGGACGAAACAATGTGCACATTAGGAAGAGGGCAGGAAAGTCTTTTACCCATTTCACACGGCAGCGTGAAGGTACTTTTAACTAAAGACCTTTCAGTAAAGACAGCTGGAGGTCTTCGCACGGCACATAAAGGTCCCTTTAGCTAAGGGAGGGCTTATGTTAAACGGAGCTCGCCAACTTGCCTCATCGCTGCAGGGAATAACCTTGGACCCATGAACTTGAAATAAAAATGACTGATATATGCTGTTGAGTGCATTATAACAAATTGCATATTTGCAATTTGTTTCAAAAACACTGTCTGAAACCTTGGCCCCGTCATAGCGGCTGCAATGCACTGCCGGTTTGAGGAGGCCAAATGCATAAGATTGCAAGCCTTTTCCAGGACAACATACGCAAATTGTTCGTAGACAAACGTTTCAGTTCAAGATAGCTCAGCTTCTTCATGTGCAAAGCTCAGCTCAAGGTGAGCTTTGCACCACTCGCTCAAGCTCATCCGCCATGTAGAAAAGGCTTTTCTTCCTCGTTTATGCTAGTTCACGTGCTACAAATCGTTACGACTAGGCCGTTACAAAAAGCATGGCGAGTACTAGCTATCCATACATTCATCCTCCGTTTATTTACCGTGCGATACCAAATGCGATTTAGTAAAAGTACCTTTAGCTAAGGGACCTTAGCTAAAGGTAGATATTTGCTACTGTGTGAATGGGGTATTAGAATTAACTTGGGGGCAAAAGATAAGCCACAATAGAAACAAAGGGGACTTTGGGGAAGCTCAATCTAGGTCACTGCAGGACAATGGAGCCAGCAGGGTCTAGCTACCTCAGTCGAGGCAGTGCTTGCGCTTGTTTGAGCACATGCTCGCATTTTCATACCAGAATCACCCAAACTGGCGATTTCCTAGAAAGGTCAATTAATTCTGCATCGGCTAAACCAGTGGTCCTTAAATGGGGGTCCGTGGACCCTTTGGGGTCCTCGAAGGCCTTCTTAGGGTACTGAAAGCCCTCAACCAAACAATACTAAAAAAATTATGCTGACTGTCTTGCATGTACAGCAAGTGAGCAAGGTTCTGTTTTAATACTTTTGTTATCGTAATCATCCATTATTTCCCCGTCCTCCCCAGTGGATGAGTCCCCCATCACTTCTGCCAGCAAAGAGGTCCTTAAACATGAATGGTTGAGAACCAAACTATAAATATTTATAGCCCTAAAAGATACATAATTTTTCAAATCTGGATTTCAGCATGGTACATCTTGTGAAAACTTCTAGAAATGCACTATGCATTAGTAGAAGTTAAGCGAAGTACAGAAAAAGGCACAGGCACGGGTGCCTAGCCCTAGAAAGTACTCAATTAAGCACGTGATTCATAACACTCATTGACAAAAGAGCGGCTATTGCTGCAACATAGAAAAGGCTACTTGCCGCCTGGTAATGCTGCCGTTCTTCGGTGACTTTGGTGAGGTAGTGGATCTTCTGCTTGTGGTTCTGGTGACCCATCAGCTCGGAGAACTTGTGGTGCAACTTGGACAGCTCCGATTCGGTAGCCTGGTTCCTCTCTGCCAGGTGGCGCCTCTCAACGTCATAAAGCTCCAGCTGCAACTAGAAAAAACAAAGCGCCACCGCACATCGTCGCTACCCGGAGAAAGGAAATGAGAAAACTCTACCCATCAAACTTTTGGGGTTTTATGGGCTAAACCGACGAAGGGCATCTGGCACACCCCAACAGAGGGCACAGGACTAATTTCGACCCCCCAGGGGTCTCGATGTGCAACCGAAATCTCAATTACCGGCGCCTTCTCTGCCAACGAGCCTCCGTCAAATTGTAAGCACCTCAGCCAGGATTTGAACTCTCCGCCTGGGGAATCAGCGCTTTCGGAGCCAAACTCCAAAAGCGCTGGTGTGAAGGGAGTTGGCTCAAAATGCCTACCCACAATGGTAGAAGCAATTTTATCTGGTGTTCAATCCTTCAGCTGCAATAGACCCTCTTTGAGAGTGTGTGCTCTCTGGTAACTGCTCAAGAGTGTGTTATTTTGGGCATGCGTCGGAGACGAGTGCTGTGTCAGCGCTCAGTGTGAACTCGAATCTAACTGCACGCTTCACGCAGGAAACAATGACCAAACCATGGCGGCTGCGGTGTTGCACGATGAACCTTTGGAAAGGGTCTTACTTTTTCAATTCAAGGGAAGGGGTGACAATGCATTCTTTTAGAATTTTAGAAGGTGCTTTTACCCAAGTCAAGCGCTAAATAAGTAACAATTCCAAGGCCCTATTTGGTTCCGAGTCTATTCCTAGCCAAGTAGGAAAACACCATGTTGCGAACCTTCCGATCGTTATTCTGGCAAAACGCTACAGTCCTTTCCCACTAACCTGGAAGGGTGCGACCCTGGCCTGCAGCAATTCATAGTCGTTCTTCCACCTGCATACAAAATACAAAATGGAAGGAGTGAGCATATCAGCTAGCGGCACAGAATTCATTACAACAAAAGTGCCGTATCCAGTGCATCACATAATGTGCGTTAAATTCTTGTTTATGTATATATATATTTTTTTTTTGCAATGTGTATCCCTTTACAATAGTACCCCAAAAAGGTGTTGTAGGTATCGAATAAATAAACAAATGTTGGCAAATACAAGGGGAAACCCTTGTATTTGCCGGGGAAACCGGGAGAAAAGTGGTGTAGAATTCAGCCTACAGTTCTGCTCGCAGAGGTAAACTTTTTTATGGCTTTAACCAAGTGTCGAGTTGCACGCTAAAATATAGCGCATCGCGCTTGCCACATAGCATTTATCCAAGTTAAAGGCCATTTCAGAAAGTGTGCCTCTCTTTAAAATCCATGTATAGTGCTTTAAGGCAGAGACATATTCACCTTTGGGCTTCTGCACAAGAGTCCTCGAGTCGTCTCTGGAGTATGCTCACCTCCCTGAAAACAATATAAAAGTTAAAGGGGTCTGAAAAATTTTACCACAATTCTGAGTGATTTGTCTATGTGGAATCCTTGTCCCTTATGATACAACCCACATTCATTCTTTTGGTTGTCTAAGTTCATTTACTAGCATAAAAGCGAAAATTTTGGCCTCCCAGAGAACTTCCCTCTCGGTCATAAAAAGACATCCAACACAATGCTCAGATACTCTTAAGATAGTTGTCTCACTTAGCTCTAGCATCGCCTATTACACCGCCGGCAACTTTTAGGTGTCGAGCCGTACGCCTATACAGTATGGCGCTTCAGCTACGTGACGTGCTACGAAGGAGTTTACGAAATTGCTCGCAACATCAATTGGTCGAGCTGCAACCCGATACGATCGTCAAAGGACGAGTTGTGAATATGTTCTCACTTTGACTAGTCAACTGCCGATCTGCCCTCAGAAAAAGGAAAATAAAAATGGAAATATGAAACAATCGCCTTTGCGTACAGGTTATCACTAAGAAGGTTGCGGTAAAGAAAATTTAATGGAAAACTCTCAACCATAAAGCCGGCCGTGGGGGAATCAAGACGTCCTACGACTACATCCATGGTAAATAAATGGCACAAAACGTATGTGCCAATACAGTGCAACCCACTTATAACGATGCAGTGTATAATAATGAACAGCTTATAACAATCAGTTTCCAGAGTTTCTAGACTGGAAATGATAAGTTTCTAGTCCAGATACAACGATAATCGGTTCTATCGATTGAAATTTCGGGTTGTCATTATCGTCACAAGTGGGTTGCACTGTAGTTGAGAGGACACCTGCGCACGTCCCTCCTTGCTATTCATTTTGCAAAGTCCTGGGTTTGAATCCTCTTGGGGTTTATTTTAGTGCTATGTTTTGTTGTTATTCTAATCCACCATGACATTGTGGAACCGCATTCCACAACAAATGCGAGCTGCGGTGGGACAAGTAGCATGGCTAAGACTGTTACCAAACAACAAAAACCCCCAAAACGTTTGAAACTGGAACTGTATTCCAATCAAGTGATGTAGTGGCATCCAACTATTACAAGAACGCCAATAAACAACCGACAGTTTTTATCGCTCTCAATTTATTATTTAAAGAGTTGAATACCTGTTCAATTTTTTTTTACACAGCTACCACAATGTTTTGTTGCTCGTGCTGCTCTAGGGCGTCGCATGGTTGTTACAGACAGTCCCAAAAATGTGATGTTTAAGCACGGTTCATAAAATGCAGACAATATTTTGCTGCAATACTTCGAGGCCTAATGAATATTTAAAAAATAAAATCGGGCAGGTGCATTTTATTTTGAAGACCCCTTTTAAGCAGTGAAAACAAAAATGCCCTTGGCAATGAAGTTTACGAATACAGTGCTGGAACTGACAAGTTGTGATTAGGAGCAGCTCTTGTAGCAGGGTTAAACGGGTTTTGGAGCAGAGATTCCCACTTTTAGAGCAGACAATTTTGAGCTTTCATGTCAAAAACTTTTATACAATCTCTTTGAAAGTTAGCCTGTGAAAAAAACAGCAGTTATTGGAATGTTGGAAGACTAAATAGTAATACCTACCAAGGACCTGGCCTCTGCAATTATTTATTTACTGAACAATCCTATGCCGGCAATTTTGTAGATGTTTCAATTAACCTATTAGGAGTACCGATGGCGTCTTCTGTCTGGGTGTGATGTAAAAAGATGTTTTTGCCTACTGTATAGGGTATACATCACAGTGACGCAATTGTTGAGAGTTCGACATCAAACAAACACTTTTGTGTTGAATGTGTCTCGCACTGCCCTCGCTCGCATTCAACTTGCTGCTGTTCATAAAGCAGCTAAGCAGAGCACAACGCTACTCTCACCAATCGCAACGAGTAGTGCTAGTTATTCATTGTGATCGATGTGAGCACCGTTTGCACAAGAACTGATAATAAACTCTTCATTAGGCATGTGCAAATAATGGATTTTGTGTTCGAAGCAAATTAAAAGTGAACTATGGTTTGAGGGAATATTTTTTAATTGAATATTGGAAAGTTGTGGCACATTGTTCCACGCATTTTACTACTGTTACATCATGCTTAAATGAAAATTCAGCTGAACTCACGAGGGTTGTTCCCAAGCTCCTAATTGCCCACTCGTGAACTCTGTTAAATTTAATCTAGCTATATTTATAGACTGTAGCCTCAGAATGCCCAGTACCTACATTGGGATGGCAAGGGAACAACAAATGACATAAAATTAAGCCTATAAAGGAGCCCAGCCATACCTAATTGAGGGAATTTATAAATCCTATAAGAAAATATTTTCTTTAATTTCGAGTTAAAAAAAATAAAACACAAATAATGAACACAGGTTTTTAGAACATCGCTGCCTAACATATGCCTTTGCATAATAACCACAGTTAAATGCTGATATTACTGCAATGTAATATCAACAATCGCAGTTTTCTATTTTTTGTTTTAATACACCAGGTGCGTGCATGCACCATACTAGTTTGAAGGTGCGTTTTTCTCCTAAGTGTGCGGCTGCGCTGCAGCGAAGAGTGTCACGAGATCGCTATGTCTGCTCTGCGGGTATTGCTTCTCCGCAGTGCACCAGTGCTTGAGAAGCTTACTTAAGGGGGCTAACTCGCTGCAATCAACACTTCGAAAAGTATTAATATCGTAGTAATGTGGAAGCGAATATCAGATAACATATTATTTGAAGCTACTATTAGAAAATTAGAATATTCATGCAGCCCTACTCTTTGCACATAATACTTAGGCATAAAAAAACTGTACTTCATTTTCAGTGGCATCGCTAAAAATGCCACGTGCAAGACACTTTCAGTTTCCTTTTCGAGAACAGCTCCCTTTTGGCACAGACACTGCACAAATTGTGCACAAAGGCAGTCTTTGGAGCAGCATGTAGCAGGTAATTCGTTCTGGCAGTTTGGCGCAATTGGCACAGCAGTTCCACCACTGCAAATAGAACCTCAGCTATATCATAGGCAGTCAGACAACACCCAAGAGTGCACAGTTTCATAGCAAACATTTCGAGAATTGCACGACAGGCACAAATTGTCACAATACCGACCACCAGACTAATGAGCATACAATAGTATCCACACACTTAAAGGGGTACTCCACCGATTTTTTGAGCTACCTCAACCAGCTATATTTTCTGACTCCCCGACCTTTACTCTCTCCGGTATGCTATTTAGAATCGCGAAATTCATAATAGTTATAGCGAAATCGGCAAATGAAAATGATGCAAAAACCAACATTCAAATATACGCGCGCTTTTCAGGGCCGTGACGTCAGTGGCAGGCAGGCTTGCCAGTCGAGCAAGCAGCCAAAAAATAGAATATGCCAATCATTAGTTCCGTGCTGGAGCGCGGGTACTGCAGCGAGCTTCCCAAGCATTCATTTGACATTATGAAACTGCTTCGAATCAGTTTAAAACAAAATCTAAAGCCCAAAGAGTGAACCCCTGCCTTCCACTGACGTCACTTTTTCATTGTTGCCAGTAGAGACTTTGAGCTTGAAAAACACGGTGAGGACCAAAACTGTAAATTCAATAACTTCGCGAAAAAACAATATTTTGACCTAATATTTGGGATACTATTTCCCCGATGTTTGTTGGTTAGTTGAGCAAAATTTCAAGCAAATCGGAGACAATGAAAAAAATCGGTGGAGTAGCCCTTTAAGAACAGAGGAAAATAAAAGTGGGTAGTGTACTCACGTGCGATCCTTTTTGGAGTAGTCCTGGAGGTCCTTGCAAAGCTGGCGATTCTCTTGTTCCAGCTCCCGGCTAACAACCACATACTTCTTGGCCTTCCTTTCCAAGGTGGCGATTTGTTCCGCCTTCAAATTGGACGCTTTGCGCAAGTCGTCGCACGCCTTGGCCAAGTCTGTGCGTTCGGCAGCTGCGGCACGCAGCTCTGCCAGTGCGCACTCCAGCTTCCCTGCAGTCCTCGCCTCCCTGTGCTCGGTTTCTTGCACCTGACCCAGCAGCTGCTCTTGTGACGACTGCAGCTCAGTCAGAGCTCGGACCCCCATGGCGATTTGAGTGTGCAGAGTTGCACTGCAAGTGCGTTCCTCTTCAAGCTCCAGAGCCACGTTATGAAGTCGCTCCCCGGTCTCTCGTTCCCTGTTGTAGGAAGCAGAGAGGTCGCTCAGCGCCTTGCCGAGCTCCTGCTGCAGGCCCCGGGATGCACCCTTCAGCCGCTCCACTTCTGCTTGGAGGAACACCACCTGCTCTTGCATCACCTTCTCTCGGGCTTGGAAGTTCTCCTCGAGCAGCCGCTGTTCTTCCTTTAGAATCCTCAAATTTGTATTGAGCCTCTCTCCTTCTGTCGAGGCGATGTCGGCTCGATCCCTTTGAATCGACACTTCCTTCTGCAACTCCTCCTTCTCAGCAACAAGTTTGGTCACCTGGCCTTCTAACGAAGACTTGTCGCTGCGGAGCATGCAAAGTTCAATCGCCAACTTGCTGGTCTCTGAAGACATAGTGTCGGCGTCCTTGAGAACTGAAGCGAGATCTTCCTTGATTTCTTGCTTTTCTGTCTCCACCACTGTGAGGTAAGCCTTGAGGGCGATCAATTCCGCTACCAAGCCATCTTCTTTATCTGAAGCGGACGAAAGTTGCTCCTTCAGTTCAGCGATTGTGTCCTTTGCCTGCAGGAAGACGTCTTCGGCGGCTTCACGATCCACAACAATTTCCTCGCATTGTGCCTTTACCGTGGCTAGTTCCGATTCCAGGGAAACCTTCAGTGACATCAGCTTTTCGAGATCTTCGCCCAGCTGAAGGTTGACTGCTGTAGCTTGAGCCTGCTTGGTCCTTTCGTGCTCCAGCGTCTTGCTAACCTCGGCAATTGCATCAGTTTTCAAGCGAAGAGTTTCCTCGAGGCACAAAATCGAGGCGTTGGCATTATCGACGTCTTGTTGGAGTTTTTGAGCAAGCTCTGTTTGTTGTTGGGCTGCTGCAGTCTGCTCAATTCGCCATGCAGTCATCTGATTCTGAAGCTGTTCTTGTTGCTTCTGGATCTCTTTCTTCTCTTGTCGAAGAAGCGAAATTTCAGTCATGAAGTTGCTCACTTGCTGCAGCAGTTCATCGTGCACCTGCTCCTGATAGATCCTCTCAGCAGACACCATCTCCTCTGCAAAAAAGTTATTCGGCCCACTGAGTCAAAAAAAAAAAAATCCAAAGAACAAAAATTGTTCTTTAGCTATCGGCAAGGTGGGAAGCATAAAGACACCTCTAATGAGTAAAGAGCAGGAGTAAGCAACACTATTTTCAAGCTTTCAGGAGAAGAGGAAATTCAGGACACCTGAAGACTGTAGTAAACGCTAAGCAATGTTCGACCGAATAGGCCAGTTTTCATACACGTGTAGCAGAAATTGGGTTAACAGGCTAAAATGATTAGCGTTGGTATATTAGTCGACAGGCAGAATGCATGCTCTGTTTGAAGATGAGTTCCTCAGGGTCAGCACTGCCACCATTTCCATCGTTTCATCAGCATTTCCCACAAACTAGCCAAAATTGGAGACTATCAAAAATAGTAAAACGACTGCTCCAATGCGAATGCGTATTCCAGCACGGAATATGCATTCCACCACGACGGCAGATCTCGCTTATTTTATGAAAAGTGCACGGCCCGAGCCATGTAGCACAGGTCATTTCCAGACCCGGGCCGAGCCCAGGCAAAGTAGTATGTATTGTTTCTGGGTCCGGGCCTGGCTGAGGCCCGGAAATACACGAATGCTGAAAATTTCTAATTTATTGTGACTTCAGCTTATACTGGACTGCATAGAACCTGTGACTTGTACATCTCCCACAATGTCTCGAAACTTTTCTTCGTCTTTTGAACGAGTGGTATGAAGATCCCCATCTTGACATTCACATTTTTATGCCGACACAATGCCATGACACCATCTTTCATGCCAATTAGGCTAAACGAATCAAATGCACCAACACCTCCCAAAGGCAGCTTTGAATTTAAGAGACGAGGCATGCCTTGGCCTCTCACCGGGCCGGGCCCGGGTCGGGCCTGATCAGGTAGGCATCTCATCGGGCCTGGTATGGACCGGGGCCGATACCAACGACAGCATCAACATTGCATCGCACAGTGCAGCGCTGCCCGCTCGGACTTCCTCTATGCGCGCGCAGTCTTGACCGCACCTGCACCTTTTCGCGGCTGCGTTTCTCGGTCTCGTGCCCGACTCTGTTCGGCTCCTTGTCAATTGAAAACTTATTCGTGTCCAGAGTCACTACAAGTTCTTACGTCGTATGACCCACAGAAGTTGCTCAGAGCTGGGGGGGGCAATCGTGCCCCCAGAGTTGTAGGCGGACAAAACGGCAACACACCGCCGCATTTTTCGTTTTTCTGTGCTGGAATATGGCCCTACAAAGTGCTTGTATTCTCGACTGTCCCGAAAGAACCACGAGACAATGTTCACTATACTCTGTTCCACAATAACTGTGGAGCCTACAGCCCCCGCAACCCAATAAGAGCGTCGGAGCGAGGCACGTGACATCACGTCGTGGGAGCGTGTGGGTTGCTTCGTTGAGGAACCAGCTGTCGTCTGCTGGCCAAGAGTCGTCTGCTGCAAAACTAAGAACTCCGGGTGAATGTCCGCCGTCTCAACGTTGCCGTCCGCTAGAGTAGCAAGCTCTTTGGAAACAGTTCATGAGACAATTGTATGCTCAATTCACCTGCAAATTTGTGGCGGGTACTAATTCCAGGGCAACATTTTAAAGGGACATTGAACCGAAATTCGGAGCTTACAAAACAAGACCGGAGCGATAGGCGGGACGCTGCAAAACCCAGAAACACCACTCGCACAGCGATCTCTAACAGATGGCCATATTTTTGGAAAAGTGCACGATCAAACACAACCGATAAGGTCGAAGAGACATCCGACGCCACGATTTTCATTCCCTCTCTTTGCCTCGTCCCCTCAAGCTGGTGAACCGAAGTGAGGAGGAGAAAAGCAAGGCTACTTCCCGTCGTTCTCAACTGTTCCAGGAGGATTGAGACTTCATGGTCATTGTTTGATCGTGCCCTTTTTGGAAAATATGGCTATCCATTTGAGATAGTGATGTACCAGTGATGTTTAGGAGTTCATAGCGTCCCGTTCAACGCTTCCGAGGCCTTATTTTCCAAAATCCCTTTCAAGCGGAAGTGGTCGATTACACGGCTACAATCGCCACGAACCACAAAACTACATTAAAAGAAAAAAAATCAAAATTTGTCAATATTTATTGCTTATTTTCTTTTATATAGTGCGACCCACTTATCATGATGCAACACTTATTAACGATCAGTTTCTAAAGTTTCTAGACTGGAAATGATCAGTTTCTAGTCCAGATACAACAATAAATTTGGTTATAACGATTGAAATTTCGGGTTTTCTCATTATAGTTATAAGTGAGTTGTACTGTATATCCATAATAGATGGAATTGCTAGAGTTCCATTGTAGTTAAAAGAAGAAAGAAGCCTGGAACTACTTTCAGTCGTAGGCAGCGCTGTTGCTGTGGCGGTAACGGTGCCTCTGTGGCCTAGAGTGTAGACTGTCACCATAAGACTTGCTCTGACGCTCTTATTGGGTTGCGGGGGCAGCAGCCTCCACAGTTCACCAAGTTACCACGGGACGAAGTATACTGCCAGCAATAGGTAAAGCCTACATGAAAAGTATTTTTTGCTCCTACTATTATACAAGATTGCTCTTCGCTTGCCTGCGGATCGTTAGTCTTGGGATCGAGATTATCACTGCCGTTTTTGCCAGCGCATGGAGGGGATTCGTGTTAGCGCCGACGGTGGCCCCAAACATTTTCTACGGCACTGTGCTCAAAGTAAGTTGACATAGATTAGCAACTGCTACATGGGATATCTACGCGAAATGCCGCTGCCAAGAGCCTCGCTGTGGCGCCACTTCTTGTCGCACACTTCCAATAGTCAACGACAAGGTGAGAATGTCAGGGTGTCTTTCAAACACCCAACCTCTAGCGCAGGCTTGCTGCCTTCTGGCTTGCTTCGGCTGCACGAGCGAGACGACAAAGCGTTATCGTAGGTAGGGAAATCGTGCTGCAGGTGGGACAACTGCCGTTCACCCTCTGTCTGCGACTTTAGAAGTGGTTAGAGCGGGCAGCACTTCCTCACGAGACGTGATACAGACGCCGTCGGTGGTGGCACCTGCAACCAACTGCCAAGGTGCACTCCCTTTTAGGTGCACCTTGGCAGTTCCATATATACGCGTTGTTTACTCAAATATAAGAGCCGACATTCGCCAACCGCCAAACGGAGTGGATGGAGCTTCGTTTGTCAAAACCCTGCCTCTACGAGCGAGACAATAAACCTGCGTACAAAGCAACGCGATCAATTATTGTGCCGGGACCTCACATTTGTATTCATCCGCATTTCAATGCGAAGAACGGTGCCAAAGAATGAGACCTCGAAAAGCGAGAATCGAATCGAGCTTTCACTTTCCACACGGGCGAGTCTACCATCTTAAGCTTTTACTCTGTCCCCACGCATGCATAACAAAATGAGGTTGCCGCCTTCTTTGCCGACAAACAAAAACCGTGGAGCTCCGCGAAAACGCAGCCTACCGACCTTGGTCATCCTGGTCCCGGTCTGCCACATCTGCGTAGCCGGTCTCGTCTTCCAGCGACTCCACAAAGACCCTGAGCTCTTCCCTCAGCTCCTGCGTGTCCTTGGTCAGCCTGAGCTCCGTGGTGCACTCCACAGCATCTCTCGAAAGCACGTCGGCCTCTGCAAAGCTCTCGTCAGCGCCGTCGTCCGGTCCGGGCTGTCTTGAGAGGGCCGCGTTTGTGGTGTTCTTCACGCTCCTCCCCATCTTCTTCTTCATGTTGCGCAGGAGCCCCTCGAGCTGGCCGACGTGCGCGGACAGCTTGTTCTTGGAGACCCGCAGCTGGGAGATGAGCCGGTCTCGGTCCTCGAGTTGCTGTAGCAGCTCCGCCATCTTGCGGCGCAGCTTCTCCTTGGGCAGCTGAGCAAGGGCATGAAAAACGGCAGAAAATCACTTCAATGTCTGACAATATATATTTTCTTTTGAGTGTCTAAATTGGATGCGTGCCAGAAAACAAAACAAAAAAAACATTTTCCTAGGAAAATATTTTTGACACAATATTTAGCTCATGAAACCTGCTTCGAATCAGGAGCGATCCAGAAAACATGCTTCCATTTCAAGATGTCGACGTTGAAATAGACTACTGGTAGACTTTTTGGAATCGATAAGACAAGTTTTGCAACATAAATAATGCATTAACTTATTCTTTTTATTTTTGTTGGGAGAGTATTTTGTGGCAGGTGTGTTTATCCGGACACTTAGAGAAAAAAAAAAAAAGTGCTTTAAATTTTATTTGAGAGCAAATGATATAGAAAGAGGCTGCAAGTTCTGCACAAGAGCTTTGAGTGACCAACAAGCAAAAGGACGAAAATGTGCTTTTCCTTGGGCAAAACCAATTACACTGCACGCAAGGATTTATGAGCAAAGCAAAGCGATGCAACAAACATGTTGCTGCCCAGTATACCCATTTCATTCTCTCAATAACCGTAACACCCATTTCTAAAGTAACCTCCGACCGTAACTGGCTTCGGGATATCAAATTTAGAACTCCAGAAAAGTACTTTAGATATGAATTTTGGCAAAAAAGGCCAGTTCCAAGCCTTTTTCCCAAAGTTTGGGTGGGTATAAGTCCTGCGTATCTTCATGGTGCAATCAATGCGGAAGTGTTTGGAGTTCCTGCAGCTGGCATTTTCGTAGCTTCATTGATGGGAGACTCATCGTCAGGGATGCTTGCAGCATTTTGGAGTGAACATCTACAGCCACCATTCGTTAAAGCAACAAACTGTGCTCCCTGCCATCAAACTACTTGGCAAGGTATACTGGCTTAGGCCATGCTTCTGCTGCGCACAAGCTCCCACTGCAGAAGTTGAAGCTCGCATGCGCCAAATCACCGTCTGGGCCTACAGTGCAACGTGGGTCATTGGTCACCATAGTCAGTAACAAGGTGAGGTCACCCTAACAATATCCCACACTGCCTGGTGATACTTACAAAAATACAAAGGGGAAGGACATTGGCTCAGAATGGCGAGGGGAGGAATCCTACTCTTGGCTTCCACTTTAGGTGGTGCAAGCCAGAGCCATATATCTAGAGAGTATGGCCATTCGTTGGGAAGTATAGGAGACAAATGAGGAGACACCATTGGCCGAAAGCGGGCTGGGTGTGCTCCAAGGCGTCTTCACAAATTTGAATGTGCCCAACCAGAAGCCGAATATAATACCCTGGCGGTGGTCGCAAGAAACAAACTTAACAAGTGCGTCGGAGTAACTCTCGGCGACTGAAAATATGGTGCACGTAATGTTTCAATCATGGTTATCCAAAATCATGGTGGAAGACCACGACTAGTGGAACAATTGACATAACATGTACACCAAGCGCCAAGGGCCGGGAATCTGCCGTCAGAGCAAAACAAAATTGAGCGACACATTCGTTTCTCTTTCTGCATGATCATGATCAACACATCATGTGCACCCTATTTTCAACCATAAAGGGTTACTTAATTTAACTCTTATGCTCTTATTAAAACTATTAAAGCTGTTTTTCGCTACCACCGCTAGGGGATTCTTTTTGGCTTCTGGTTGGCCAAGAGAGCATGCAGGGGTGGAACTCATGAAATGTACTTGGGAGCAGCCACGGGAGCAGCTGAAACAGCTGTTTTGGAGCAGGTTGGGAGCAGCTAAAGCTAAATTCTAGAGCAGGCAAGGTGCAGCTCAGATCAGTCTTTATTGCACTTCAGCTTGTGTCTTAGACAAGCACGGGATCAATTTCAGTTGTGCTTAGCAGCAGATATGAACATGGGTGGTCAGGAACCTAGGTTGTTCAAATAACAGTGTAACAGATGCAAAAACTTGAAAGTTTTTGAGCCTTGATGAGAACCAAAGAGTAAGTACCATAGGTTTCTGAAGATAGTGTCATTGATATTTTCTGAATGGCTTTCAGCTGCTCAAAATGCTAACCAGCACTGCTTATCGCACAACCCACAAAGCTCGACATAGTAATTATATGTGCGAACCACGTGACGTGCGTAAGCAAAGGGCGTGCGGTTGCGTGGAGGAACAGAACAATAAATTTCGAGTTTATTCTATTGTGCAACTCAATATCGAAGCAGTAGACTACGATTAACGGAGCTACCATATTCGAAGCGATAAGCAGGAGCGAGGTTAAAGTACGCCGAGCAGATTTACCGCTCGCGTGAGAGCTGCTGGCCAACAAGGTTTCGGATCGGACCGCGTTTCGGTTCTATCAAATCACGATTTATCTTGCGGGAATGCGGTTCCAACTTCCAACGATGAAGTACTAAAAGGAATCTTTTGCTCATTTGTTTCCAACTGGGTGACGTCCGGATCCCGGGCAGCAGAGCCTCAGGCAATCTGACCATTAACGACTCGACCTCACCTCGGCCGACTTGCTTAACCACTCATGGTTGAAGAAGAACAATCAAGTCGCAGCTGTTGCAGGGCTTGGAATCCGCCCCCGAGTTTTTTCGCATGCTTCCGACTCGGGATACACAGGGAGAATAAACAGAACAAAGGATTGCAATGTCGACCAAGCTAAACACGCTAATTGTTGGCAATCGAGTCGATGGAAACCGAAACCAAGGCAAGATACAATTTTTTTTTGGCGCACGCTTTGCGATGTGATGCGTAATCGCGCAAGGTATTGGCTGTGGCGCAGTTTCTGCAACATGGCGCAGGATGGCGCAGACAAATGAGTCTGGTGCAAAATGGCGCAAATGGCGCAGCCGTTCCACCCCTGGAGCATGTCAAGCCCTCTTTCTGCATCTGGTGCACACCCTGGCTCCGCCCGTGCCTCCGATTGACCAAACTCTCTCTACAGACGGCTCTGGTGCAAGCTACCTCCCATTATAAAGGGTACAACTGTTAGCATCGATCCATTCATTCAGAACGGCAGGGAAGAGGTTTAGTTGTCCTGCCTCCAGCGCGAGCTTTCTACCTTTGACAACACTTCGGCGTCTAGTGCACCTCTAGCGCACACGTGCAGTCAAGGCCCATAGCAAGGCATGGAGAGTGCTGGAGGCCGTATATTCAAGAGACATGCCCTGCAGTTCTTGTCTTGTCAGGGACTATATACAAGACATTAACCTCGCACAAACATTGACACGTGGGAGCTTCCAACGGCTGGACCACGCATTGTAAAAACATCCAAGAAGGCATGCGGTCAGTATTAAAGCATACTAACATGCATGGGTGTTGCGGGAGCCTTGAATGGGGTTCCACATGCTGATGCAGTTCCAGCAGATCCTGAAATGCAACATGAAACATATACACTGGTGCTTCTCCACAACAATTGTATATTTTCTCTTTCACGCCGAACCCATGTAAATCAAAATATTCAAGATTTTAATTCTTTGAGTCAGACACATATGCAACACTTGCTTCTAATGTAATAAAATGGAGTAACCAGCATGGAAGAATCGCTTCTAATCTAATCTATTGGTGGGAAAAGAACGATTTTCATGGAGTAGCACTAAAAACAATAAAAAGCTGGCTAAAAAAAACAGAGATAGCACAATGACAACTGCTCCAAGATCAATCGTGGCCAATAAATACTGTACTGACTATATTTAAATTTACTACAGGCCCATGTATCCACCTTTGCTGAATATTCACAAACTACTTTCATGCCAAGCCCAAGCTTTCATTAAAGGGAATTTCCAAACCCGCGAGTGAGGCATACCAACAACGTTCGATCGGTTCAGGTCAGCTGCATTATCGGGTTGTATCTCCATGCAAGCGCCACTGAACATCGATAGGAGCTTGTCTTACCCGAGTCATGTCTGAAGCGTTCTGCTGCGAGAAATTTCGCACACAGCGCATTGTGCTTCTCCTTGGGTGTGTAGTCTCCCACACCCGGGCCGCACACTGCAAATGGTTACGGGTATTATGTATGAACTCCCAAAATACGAAATTGTACAACTTCAGATGTCTATGAAGGGAGGGGGTATATTGCAACCACCATCCATCTGGGAAAGAAAGACAAGGCAATTAAAGCAGCCAAGAAGCGCGATTCCGAAGGAGGGTTACCCAAAAGCCAGTGGCATCTGAACAAGGGGTAGGGGTAGTGGCATAGCCATGGGGGGGGGGGGGGGGGAGATTGTGGAGTCAGCCCTACACACAGTGCCGCATTATGGCATTTTTGGGCCCTCGGCCAAGGATGTTATAAGTTCTCTGCTGATAATGATGACCATGGCAATGATGGGGATGAAGGAAACAATTACGCCTCCATTATGTACATTTCACCATCTTGCAAAATTGAAACTCTTTTCATTGTAAGATTTTTTTTCGTCTTCTAGATTTATGAATCTAATGTAATTCAAGCTTCCCTTGCTGGCTATGAGGCGGAGTTTGATTGCTAATCAGAATTTGCTTTGCAAATAACCAACTGCTCTGGCACATTGTAGTATAGCTTTTATGTATAAAACTGAAATCAATAAAAATGGGGGAACATATTCAGATGTTTGATTCACATCCAGCAGCTTCATAAAGAAAACTAAAGAGCTTCCATTTTACGAACAATAAGTTGTCGAACCACCCCTTTGTTCAGGGGTTACTGACATGAACAGTAAAAGGAGCAACACAAGCAAAGAAAATTTCGCTGGTTGAGGAAGTCTTCTTGTTTCCGAAAGCCACCTCATCCAAGCTCTTGATAACTGAACCCTTGTGTGACAAACATACTTCTACATCTAATCCACAAGAGAAACTGCATACCATTCTGACGCAATAAACCCTGCTGTTCGAGCACATTGACATTAAAAGAATATGTGACGAAAATTGAGATTCAACATTTTACAGAGTGTACACATGCTGTAAAATGTGTCAATCAGTTCTAGTAGTCATCTCATTACTTCCAAATATAGTAATTTAGTGGTCATTTGGATGTAGTTAAAGAATAAGGTCATACCTCAGAGGTTGGTGAAGGCATTGTAGTACTCATATCAGTCTGAAGAAAAAGTATGCACTCGCACTGGCAAATCCAACACCAACTCCAGAGCAATTGCTTGCAACCAATGGTTATCGAAAACTGTTGCGGGGTGTCATCTCAAGAGCAGGATTTTTTTTATAGGCGTCTGTCGGTGGTTATGGAGTCCGGGTCCAACACGTGTACCATTATCTCTTTGCTTGTTATAAACTTTGCGTTCTGGCGTAAACTGCACATAAACTTTAATCAAATAAAAGGTTAGAAAAAAAGTCTACCATATATGCTGCTCAAGCAGTCTTTAGCGGCACTTGCTTAACTACAGGCCGGCCATTGTGCATAAAACATGCCAAAAGGGTTCCAGCACAAAAGAGAATGCCATGGTGGTCGTTCCACCAAGTCTCAATAAGGGACTTGAACGGGGCCGCCAACGTTGACGGCTTTGCCACCTCCGACGAGGGGTAAGGGAGGCCGCATTACATTCCGTCGCTTTGGCATGCTCTTGTACGAAGAGCAAGCTCGCAAACGCCAGCTTGTATAGAGGGAGCTCCGATAAAAAGGGAAGGAAACGAGAAGGCCAATGCCCACTGAAAACAAATCTTTCCTTTCATCATAAAATGTCTTGTCTCTGTCTCTGATAAGATTTATCATTTTAACTCTTCTCTGCGATTCTTTCTTTTTGCCACCATCGTATACTCCTTCCCACAGCGACACCCAGTACAAGGTTGGCGTGCCAAGCAGCCACACTAATTTACATTTCAACTCCTTCATTCCCAAAACTTGCGTCTACTGGAACCACCTCCCTGCCGCCATCGCCCTGATCACCGACACCGTCCGCTTCAAATGTGGCAACTGTAACCATTTTTTGTAACCGTGCTGTTGTGTTTATGATGACGTTTATTACTACTGTGTGTTTATTTCGCCTTTCCTCTCTGTAATGCTAAGGCCTTGAAAGTAAATAAATGAAATGAAATGAAAAGAAAAGGCCCTTCGAAGTATCCCTTCTGCTCTCCCCAGGTTGTCAGGCGGCCAAGGGGGGTGCGGGTCCATATAACAAGAGCGAATGACATTTTAGCGAACGGCGACATTTGAGCGAATGGTCGTTTTAGCGAATAACGGGGGCGCGCGTTCAGTCTGCGGCAACTCATTACAAAAATATAAACTCACTTGGCCCACCCGAAAACGCCGCTTCGCGGCGTCCGACTCTTCGCTAAAGTGTCATTCGATGAAACGTGGGCGTTCGCTAAAACGTCATTCGATCAAGTGAGTGCCTCCCGCCTACACAAATACTTTAACCCCCTCCGTACCCGAAGTCATGAATATCCCAGCCCAGCTCAGCGCCCCCGAAAAAAATTTCTGGCTACGCTACTGGGCAGGGAGCCGGCTACGCTACTGGGCAGGCAGGGAAGGGGGTAGGGGGGACAGTTTCTGGCCAGTCTTCACAGCGCGGTAACACTGTGCCACTGATATTAAACTGTTGACGCCTTGGCACGCGAGTCGTGGTATTAGCATACACGCACGCACGCAAGCACACATGCACACACATAAAAGGACCACGGCACCTCGATTCGCTTTGTGCCGTCGAATCGAGGGGGCGTGAATTATGACACCTCTACATTACGCTCTGCTAAAAGCAAACTAACGCACATGCACAAAAAGATACGTTCGACGCAAGAACTATAGGCGAAAATGAAACGTCAGGAAACTAGAAAACAGCAAATGCAGGAACAGAAATGGTCATGAGAACGCAACTGCCAAATGCACAACACGAATATGAGACAGAAGCGATTTCAACTAACCTTTCGGTTCCGTGAAACGCTTGGCCCGTGGAAAAGACATCGTAAAATAAAAAAGAACACCTCACGCTAACATCCACTGAACTTGGCACAGTCAAACTCGAACCGCCCGACTGCTTTAAAGATCCGCACAATTTTCAAACTACGGAAGAGACGGCCACCAACACCAACGACCAACGGCTTTATACAACCGCCGTTTTCCAGTGCACCAATCAGAAACGTGAGGCGAAACAACATAAATTATAGATATATTTTGATCAATAATTTTACGCTGAATTGGGTGGTGATGCGCGCCTCGTTGCGACGCATAATGCAGTGTGATGTATCATGGGAATTGCGATTTTGCAGTTGCTTGTTTCGGTATGGTGCCGCGTACAAATAATTCCTCATTGATTTTTAATAACAGTACCGACGAGATAAGTTATGTTTCGTTTGTTTTCGGTCTGAACTCTGTTTTCACGACAAAAACTCGGGCAGCTTCGTAATGTCTCCGCTAGATGCCCTCAGCCTCGGTGCTGTATAACGAGCGTTTCCCCGCAGTAAGGTTGCAACGCCTATTGGCTGAGAGAAAAAAAGCAAAAACAAGCAAAACAAAACAAACCAGAAGTGACGAAAGTTTTTTTTTTGTTTGTTTGTTTTTGCTTGTTTCAATTTTATTTTTTTGTTCTTACTTTTTGTTTTTCTAAGTGTTGGTTGGGTGCTTTTTGGAGCGGTCGCGTCGGTTCCAGCGGTCTTTCTTGTATTATACGTTGTCGTGTTATGTGCCGCCGTATTGCCGAGTGGAGTTGGTCGTGATATTCAATGCTTGGGAACGAGCGTCGGCAGTGAAGTTCATAGCGCATTCATGCAAGCTAGCAGGCCCCGTCTCGCCACATGGAGGTCCGTGGGACGCTTGTTCGGAACGTAAAAGGTGAGTGGAATTTACCTACTCTGATGGCGTTCGATCGCCGATGCGACACCGCAGTGGTGGAATTTGATAGCGCTTGGCTACCTCACGTAGCGTCGGGGACAAAGAAGATAGTAGAGATAATCAACGGGAGTGGCATGTGGCTCCCGGGTGCCGCCTGCGCCGCATTTGCATTCAGTAATCGCACTTAAAGAAGGACCAAGCGCGTTGGGAATGTCGGCTTTTGACGAGCTCGTGCAGTCACAAAAGCGTTCTGTCGAAAGACGGGATTTACAAACGGATCAGGCTTCGCGAATGGCCCTCCCGGCGCGTCGAATTTGTGGCGGGTAATAATGTTACTGTTCATCCTGGTAGGCCTGCGATGGTGTTTTCTGCACAGATGCTGTATTCTGCCTCGTGGTACATTCACACCTGCAGCAGAACTGCTAAGCGATTCTGCTACAGGTTAATCGCGAACAGTTGTGCTCTTCCATAATGTGCATGTTGAAGTGACAACAAATAAGGGCCTCTCTGTTCTACTTCTCCTTTGGTATTCAACTGGTTGTATTTTCTACTACATTTTGTTCAGAAAGCTACTGCGAGACAGGCATTATTGATGTATACTATCCAAAATAATGCTTGAGCATGAGACGATGTAGCAGAAATACTTCTATATGTGCCTGCTTTTTGTGTTTTTGCAAGACAAGGTTTTATGTGCCTGCTTTTTATGTTTTTGCAATTCACCGGCTATACCACTCTTCTCATGGTTATTGTTTTGTTGGGTGCAAAATTTTCCGCCCCAGGTGTCTGATGCTTGCGGCTGATGGCTCCTACCTATGTGCATCAAACAGCGGGCCTGCACCTTCGTCGAGACAGCAGTAAAACAGTGCTGGGTAACTGCAGCGACTGGGTCACCGATGCTGTTCCACTTCCTGCACTGCACTCCGCGTGGGTCAAAGGGCCAGCGCATGCCTTTTATGGGTTGTCGCCAGCCATAGTGAGTATGGCTTGGAGTCACGTCATGCGAGTGAGATGCTTGTCACCTGAGTGACGTCAGTGGGTGGGGGGGGGGGGGGGGGGGGGGGGGGTTGCCGCCGCCTCTTGGGGTATTGTACAAGGCAGGAAATAAGGGGCCCGAAAGTTTTCTACCTCGACGAGGTGTGGGTTATGGCAGGACCAATTTTCTCAAAGGTGCGAGTAGATACAAATGCGGCTTTGTTCCGTGGACACCTTCATGTGTGGTGGCACGAGGCAGTCATTGCTTAACCTTGCTTAAAGATCAACGACTGGACTGGTCAAGGGTGGCATGCCTGAGAGTGGGACAGTAGACGGCTTTTGTATACCAACTTTAGACTTCATTCACCCCTTAACTGACAGGGCACTGGAGGCTACATGCTCGGTGAACCAGCCGATTGTCAGTCTTGCATCACTTATCACGCCCCTTTCTCATACAGATGTGCAGGTCGGACATGAGGCAATAATAGCTTGGCCCACCAACCACGTGGCTCCTACCGCCCTGTCAGCGTAGGGGTGAATGGAGCGTAGGGGCGGCAGAGTTGGTGGGGTCTGCTGAGTGCTTCTGGCGTAGCAGTTCGGCAGTGGTGAGTTACTAGGGCACAAAATGCAATACCGCACTTTACTCTGTATGCTGCGAGCCATCGGAGCCAATCCAGTGCCGAAGGTGCGTCACGTGGCCTGTCCGTTGGGTGCAACTGCACGTCGAGCACAGTGTCATCTGGCAGCGATAAAGAGTTGGATTGGCTCCGGTGGCTCGTATCGTCGGCTGCGGTACAGCACAAGGTGAAACGGAGTAGAATGCGATGGCGTGTCGCATCACAGAAGGTGAGCAAAGTAAACAGATAAAGGTTTGATTTTTAGAGTGCCTTTAGAGCGCATCACAGGCGCCCCAGGATGGGCGAGGAGAAACCTCCTCGCCCATCGATATATTGACGGGGGACCGGGGGTAGAAGAGCCTCTGGGGACTGGGCGGTGCCGAGAACAGGCAAGTGTGTGCGACCGGATTTCGGTTAATCGTGGGAGACGAGGCCTGGGGTCCCTTTTTGTGTTTAGCTTTGGCTTTACGTGCAAATATCGGTGTAATGTCGCATGTCTTTGCAGTTTAGATTGAGTGTTTTTGAGCGTTGTGTTTTCGGAACAAATATAAGGGAGCGGAATTTCCGCTCCCGTGAAAGAACCAGGCTGGACTCTGGTTGTTTGACGGACCACGTGGGACCTGGCATATCGGCGGCAGTATGCGATTTCCTACAATGTGTCCTTTAAGTTTCATATATTTTGGTCTTGCATTTTAACCACTATTGTATAACTTGTTCACACCATTGTTTAACATGTTTGTTTCCTATGGTTGCATTTACAATTGCACTGTGTGATGCCCCTGGCTCCGAGGGTAAAATAAAGGAATAGAAACAAACCGATTCTGTAAGTTGCCAAGTTCAATTACGATCTCCTCTTTCTGGATATGTATAGACTGAGCACCGGCCCTGGACAAGCATAAGTCCATTGCCACAGACTGAATGCCAGCAGAGCTGCCGAGCCTCGCTTGTGTTTGGTCCCATGGTGGTGCACATTAGAGCACTGTGTGGGCCTACTTTTCGAGGCCAGTCCCAAGCCTCTTGGCAACCCGTTCTGTTCGTCCTGACAACAAAGTGCGCTTAGTTAGCATACAAAGACCACTGTTACACTTGTTTGAACAAGATTGCAGCTTTAGCGGGCTGCTCGACTGCCATGTTGTGGCAGCATTTTTTGAAAAAGAGTTTCTTACGTAGGCTGCACTCAATTAGAAGGCTGGGAGGCATATTGAATCACATTTGTCCAATCTGTCTGCCAGAATGTGTGAAAGTAGAACAGATAGCACATCGCTCTTGGTAGAGCAGCTCAACCTTGACCAAGGTTTACGGTAGGCCTGCACAGTGGTTTAGATAGAACACATCTAATTTCACTCTCCTTTATCACAGTGTGGAGCTAAAAACTAGTGTGCCCTACCAGCTGGTGGTGGTGTGGTGGCCGGTACTTTGCTTGCAGGACTTAACCGAGAAAAGGTTTTCGCCTTTTGCCAAGTTTCACTGAGGCACAGTATAGTTTGCTGCCTGATGCGATCGTAGAGCATGTATCCACCACTTAGAGCTACATGAGACTGGTTCGATCAAAATGAGAATTATATATTGTCCTTTCTGAAATACAAAGTAGTAAACTTTATAACTTGCCATAGAATTCTTTTCTTTTAAGATTTTTTTTTTTGTGCAAACAGCACCGACAGCTGGCATTGAATTAAAGTATGCCTAAAGTCGGAAAGCCTATGAACAACTATCGCATGGCCGCAAAGCAAGAAGAAAAAAAACATAGGATATCGTCTGCTTTTTTTCCCTGCTCTCGCTTAGGACCACTGGTATGCCGATAGGGCAAATAGTCATAACCTGTTATAAAATAAGGTGCGTAAGTTGTGCACATAATGATGGCATGCAGTTAGGTAATAAAAATAAGTGTCAGACGACACTTCACAAAGCAGAACAAAAAATCGCAATAAAATGCGGCAAAGAAAACAACAAAAAACAATATGCCTTTGCCTAGGAGCGGAGGGGAGAGACAATTTGAAGCCACTTTATGGCGGCTGTGTCATGTGATTCCAAGATGGCAGCGCCTATGCAACGGTGGGTGAAAAGATCTAGAATTTTAGAAATAACTTGAAGGGATGGCATGAAACCATTGGCAGGGGTCTGCTCTGCTGGCTCGGATGCGACAGGGGTTCACCATCATTCTGATTCTGATGCAATCGCTGTACCAAATTGCTTGCCCTATTGTGCTGCACTCTACTTCATCAAAATAGACAATTTGCACCACCAATGTGCTGAAAAATATATTTCCTCAATGCTCAAACTATTTGCTAAGGCTTCGTTATATGCCACTGTCTTATAGCAGATAGTTTTCAACTTTTGATTATTGCTTGATTTACTGTAGGTATGAAAACTTTTAGGAAACTGCAGCAGCTGACCACATGGTAACCCCCTCGCCAAAGCGAGGGGTGACCTGCAGCCTGTTTGGAAGCCTAGCTTGTAGCCCAAGCTACTGTTGCATTAGTAGCAGACTGCATTTGGAAGACAGTGTGGCTGTAGCTAGCTTCAGTTGCTGCATTGGAATGTGCACCTATTGACATTAGGTGACCATAGCAGACAGAACTTATTGTGCAGGGGGAGACTGGTGTGGTGAGATCAGGTGAGTATGTGGGATCCTTTGCAATGCTTTTCAATGTGGCCGCAGAACATGGGATTCTTAATAAAGACTGAAAGGAGATGGCAGATATTTTCTGGCACCTAATATTTTGACAAGCCTTGCAT